TATTATAAATTATAAAATTATTCATTTATTTTCAAATTCAATTTATGGGGGTCTTTATTTAAAATATTTTTATGTTTGACAAAGACTTTTCGAATATAAAAATTATTTTAAATATTTTCAGAAAATATTTCCAATAAATAAAAGGGTTGTTCCTATCACAGCTCACATACTTATAGACAGATTGATTTTCATATTTATATAGAAATATTTTATTGTTAGTTCTTATGATTTATTTTCGATAATTTCGAGCTTGTCCTTATTTCAATTATTTTTAATATTTGACAAAGTCTTGTGAAATATAATTATATCGTAGATAAATTATATTAAACCTACCTATAAATATCATATATTTTTTTAGAATAGATGTCTTTCTAATAGTTTATATACTATTTATTTTTTCTTTTTTTTTAATATATATTTTATAGCAATTGCTTTTCCATTGGATTTTTCTTATTTTACTAATTTTAATTTAATTATTGAACTTGAATTTTTCTTATAAATTATTTTTGTCTATTAGTTTGAATTTTTCATCAATCAATAATTTGTATATCCTTGCTACTTTATGGTTCGTTAGATTTTGTTTAATTTAAATTGATTTATTTTTTAATACAAAAGACCAAAAGCGAATAAATAATTCATTCCTTAAACAGAGCCTTAATATATTTCCTTACTTTTTAATCAAATTGATTTGAATGGACATTTTTCTAAAAGCTTTTGCTATAGTTCTTTTTATGCAAATAATTTAGTCTTTCACAAAGACTTTAAGGACTTGGCAAGCAACATAGCAACATATCCTTTTATACTTCAGCTGTCAAGTTAATAATATTTAAATCGATTTCGTCTAAAAAAGGTCTCATTTGAGATTTGAGCATATGGATAGATTTCGATTTTCGTCGTGTGTTTCAGCAAACCTTGTCACGTGCCATTTCATTAGCGTCAAATTTGAATAAAATTCACTAACACCTCGATGCTTCCGCAGGCCAAAGGACCTTTTGTGTACGCCCATAAAATAGCAAAGGCGCAAATGGCAGCTGCTTGTCAGCAGAAAAATAAGCGAGAGCAGAGAAATAACTGTAAGGGAAATACTGCCTCTGCCGCTGCCTCTGCTGCTGCATTGACCTAAACAAAAAAGGAAATGCCGCCATGATAACAATAACAAAAATTCGTAGTATGACAGCAATACGCCAAGGGGCAAATAATATGAGTGGGACAATTTGAAGCAGCGGCGGGGCTGAGGCACGACAGACCTTGTCACTTTAATATGTTGACCCTAACACAAAGGCAGAGAGAGAGAGAGAGGGAGAGCGAGGTTAGTCTGTTAGCTAAAGTTACAGCGGCAGTGGTAGAACAACTGCTGTTACTTAACAGCGCCATGTTAAAGTTTAATCGTGGCTCTGCTAAAAGCCAATCAAGCCTTTGGCCATGTCGGCCAGCCTAGTTATGTGCAATTTTTTGTCGTCTGCGCTTTCACTTTTTGCAATTTAGTTGTTGAGACACGTTTTCTTGTTACGATTGTAATGAAATTTGTTACAACTTGAAGTGAATTGTGGAGCCCAGGCCCACAACAGTCTAGGCGCAGGCGATAGCAAAAACTGCCAACGTCGGCGTCGCAGTCACGCAGCAGGACAACAACTGCTAAAACAGAGGTTGCAAAACGCGTCGCGCACTTTGTCATCGTTTTATTTTTATGTGTAGTTGTGTTTAATAAAGTTTTTATATGCCTTCTGTGCGTCTCACTGGGCATATGACTCTCTCTCTCTCACTCTCTCCTTGTGTCTGTATTGGCCTTAAATTTTTCGGCTGGTCTGTATCGTATTTCTAATCAAGTTACGATTATGGGACTGGGAACTTTAATGCATTGCTAGCACATACAGATTTATTCATATTTACGAGCGCTCTCTGCCTCTCCCTCTGCTTCAAGCCAAGAAGTAAATTCACAATTTCAATTTCCCACACTAGGCGCCAGAGGAAGAGGAGAAAAGAAAATAAAAAAGAAAAGCGACCAGTGTCAACACCTACATACAGCACGGCAATTTTATGAACTCATAAAACCATTGCGATGGATTTGTATTTGAAAGCCCAAAGGCTTTTGCGGTGTAGGTCATATAAAAATCTCATCCCTGGTATAGACCACGGCTAGATGGGAGCAGGACAACGGACCCAGACGACAGATCGCTCTGAGCTATTGTTGTTATTCTATGAGAGCCAGCTGGAGCATATGTTTGTTATTTTACATATTTACCAGCGTATGGCCCAGAAGCTAATTTCTGTGGCTTTGGGCCAGTCAGGCTGACTTATTCCTTTGTCAATAAAATATAAAAGTGGATCAAAAATATTGAGGACACAGCAATACAAATGCGAAGGCGAGAGTCGCAAAAACTGAGTATTAAATACACTTTTATGGTCTGACAGTTCTGAGCTCGACATTTGATGACCCTAAATATAATTTTTAAGGACCGTTTAGTAAATAATTATGACTCCATATATAGCACAAATAATTATGGTTCATTAAAATAAATTTTATAACTATCAATTTTCTTGAATTTTTTAAATTATATTTCTGATCAAGTTAACAGTTTGATAGCTTTGTGAGACAATTTGAGTCAGGTTACTCTTCAAAGGAAAAAACATTATATTCACTTATATATTCTGATGCTGTTTGGCTCGTTTTCGTTTATGACCCTTCAATTGGCATGCAATTTTGGCATTTCAAATGATTCAGTCAACTTTATTGCCAATGGCATTTTATGGACCCCTTTCTGAGCGCATTTCAAAAATCACAGAAATTGTATATGACATGAATGCATGTGTGTGCGTGTGTGTGTGTGTGTGTGTGTATGTGAGGGGAGAAAAGTAGCACAAGTTGCTTTTACTGTGTGTTCAACACTCTTTTCCAGATTTCTACACACACATACACATAGAAACACCGATAGCAATGCAGTAATCGTTGCCTCTGCCCCTTCGCTGGCTGCAAGTTTACAAATGCAGTCAAGCCGAATCGAAAGGATGTGGCCTTCCTTCTGCTAGCGATGCACTGTTGCGCGTGTAGAGAATTTTTAAGATTTGAAAAACTTATTAAATTTAAAATGAATTTATAATATTCAATTGAAATTAATAATTTACTAATTAATATTCAAAGTCAAAAGTCCGTACTGCCAGCCTGACTGCTGTTATTAACAGATCAACTTAACATGGAGAGCTAGTGTGCAGATGTTAAGTAAACAGAAAGCTAAATATCCTCTGCTAAACCATTTAAATGAAATACGAAATAATTGAAGTATGACAGAAAAATATACACATACATAYATGTATTCAAATTCATATTTAAATATACATATGTATACATATGTATATTATAGATATATATTATTAATACATATACATATGCATATGAACATCTCTTTTTCTATCCTATTGGACGAGAACACGCTCTGCCTTTAGCTTAAGAGAGTTTCGATCGAGCCGAGTCAAACAGTTGAACTGAGCTGTGTTCGATGTTGAGTGAGAGCAATGGCATATAAATGACGAGCCTGTTACTCCACACGGTTAGTCATGATCCAGAAGGCGATGGGTGTGGGTCTTCGCTGATGTATTTATTTGACAAATATTCATAGTTAATATAAATAAATATAATATGTAATTTAATACTATACTTTAAAAAATAGGTTCAAATTGCTATGTTGATAATCACAAAAATAATTTTCATAATGATCATAATTTAAAATTAAATTAGACCATGATGATATATGATCAAATATTTTAATGTCATAAAATAAATATATTTTAATTGTCAATTAATAATTTTAATCGTTTATTAATAATTAATTAATATATTTTAAAATAATCGTTTTCAATTGAATATTTAATATTAATTATACTAACTTATTATTTAGTTCCTTCCCTTATAATTGTTGTATTCTCCTCAAGTTTGTCTCATTTGTATTACATATATAGAAACTAATCCTGTAACGCGATGCCTACTCACGCGCTCATCTCTATGACTTACAGAGCGAATCGTTGTTGGTGGGGGCGAGGCGGAGTCTGCTCTCGCTTTATCTTTGTGCGCTGGCTGCTCTGCACACGCTCACCGTTCATATGAGCATGTATTTGCGTAACAGCTTAGTATGTAATTGTATTAGTCGAGGAGTAACCAGCACTAAGGCGGCTTCCTGTGCGCCATGGCAGCTGCTGTTGCTGTTTCTGTTATTGTTGTTGCTGCTGCTGCTGTTACTGTTGTTGGTATTTTCGTTGTTGTTTGCGTTGGTTGGGCTGTTGATGCTGCTGATGCTGTTGCTATTGCTCATTTGGCGTAAACGAGAAGCGAGCGAGCTTTGCTGTTTTTGCGGTTGAGCTCGCTGCTGCATTTAAGCGTTACGCACTTCCTGCACAGAATGTTATTACTTCCGTTGCCTTTTAATTGATTTTGAAGGTGCGTAGCGACAGGTGAGGTGAGGGTACAACTATGGCGAGGTGCGGGGCCAGGGGTGGGGGTTCCCTCTCGCACAGTTAACGTGACTGGCACCGGCAAATTCCTGCGCCCGTTGGCC